AAAAGGCTCGGTCATGTCTAAATGTAAAATAATTGAAATGAGAAAAACCAATTGATAAACAAAATACAAATATGAAAAACAGCAAACAACAACACTCACTGAATTACAGGCGCATATAGAATGTGCGGATTTAAATATAATTGTGAGCGTTCATGCTTTCCCTAGCCTAGCACAGTGGCTGGCATAACAGCACAACAAAGGAACAGAGTTTTCACCCACACCACTTATTTACAATATGAAAATATAGAAATTTTTAAAAGAAATTCATCAGAGCTTACTGTTACGGAGCTTATGTCATATCCATTATTACTTCACAAATCAATGTGATGACATCTGCTACCGTGATGTTGATAAATATCAATACTTAAACATTCTAAATTATACATACAATGGGGAAATCGATTTAATTCATTCCTTTTTGAAAAAAGACAAATATGAAATAGGAATTTATTGCAGTATGGTCATATTTATCTCTCAAAAAGTAGTGTATGCAAGAGACACATTTTCATTTGGTTCAATGACAAACAAAGATTTATTAAATTATATACTAAATTTCAAAGTGACAAACCAGACAATAATCAATAACTTATAATTACAGTATCACTCTGTGAAAAGTGAAAAATCTAACATTACAATTTATTAATAATCTGGTTTGTCAAATTATCTCAGGTAAGTCAAGTATTCAATTATGTTTTTTTCTTATCAGAAAGAAGTGTGGTCAGCATGAATAGCAATGACATGAAGATTATTTATGATTTGATAATTCAACAAAATGTGTGTATTTAAAGTCCTCCAGTAAATCTTACTTTCCATTGTTAAGTATCCCTTTAAAGGCCCTGTGACAACAAATAAAAATGTTAGACATATATGCAAATGAGACAGCAACAGAACATAAATAAACAGCTGTGCCATGAGCACATGATACACTCGTCGCTTTTTCAAAGAATAAAGTTCAATAACTTCTTAATGTCATATCAGAAATTTATGAAAAACTGTAGGGAGGTTATCTTTTAAAATAGATATATAAACCAGTCACCAAATGTCATGAAAACTGCTCAAAACACTTTATACATATTGTCCGAAAAAGGGAAAATTAACTACTTTTTTATGAATAAAATCCCATAACTCGAGAATGTAAAATCTGAAATTCATAAAAATCTAGAAGTGGCTTATGTTAATAGATATAAACAATTCACCAGGTTTCATAAACACTGCTGAAAATGTTTTGAGTTATTGTCCTAAAACTGGAAAATCCCCCTGTTTTCATTGTATAAAACCCCATAGCGTCTTTGAGTTATTGTCCGACATGTTGACGACAGACGGACGGACGAACAATGGTATGCCATAATACGTCCCGTAAAGGAGAGTATAAAAACATACGTTATTCAAAAATAGATAGGTTTCGATTGACACAAGAGTAATATCTCTTTTGTCGTCATGTTAAAGGTCTATGTGCGCAAGTTTTTTCATAAATCAGCCAAAGTCAACTTGTTTTTCTAACCGCAAGACTTTAGAAAAAAATTTTGTTCTTAACAATTTTAATTTCTATTAGTCTTGCTTGATTCATCTCTACGATCTAGTAAGGTTGATTCATCTCTACGATCTAGTAAGGATCACTTATCAGATCTGGTTTGTAACCCCCCCCCCCCCCCCCTCCCCTTTCCCGATTTATCTCTGTCATGCACAGTTCTGGTTCCTCTGGGCTTGACTTTACGTGTCTTTTGTGGTTTTATCAGATCTTAAACATATTTGTATTAGGTTTTGGACTTTCAATTGTTTTGGCTTCGATCATCACTAAAATGAAAAGACATTTATTGTCAAGATGCACAACTGGTGCAGTAAAAGTAGGTACATGTATTGTTAATATGATTTTCTACTACTGGATCGTTAACCCTCCTGATGGACTGTTTATCCCAGAGGGTATCAACCAACCAAGTAGCCATTACTTTTGTACTTGCATTAGAATATGGATATTTCTGTACCAGGCTTTTACTTTTTTGGCCCATTTTGCTTTTATCAGCTCTTCAACATTTGTATTTTTCTTTAGTTTTTGGACTTTCAATTGTTTTGTTCCTCGAGCACCCATCACTGAAGAGACATTAATTCTAAAAAGAAAACAGATGCCATATTGCCTATTTGATCAGCACATCAGAAGTAACTTAATGAAACATTTGGCTGAATTACTGCAGTGGTTCTCAAGTCCATGTATCAGTACAATACAGACAAATGATAAATTCATGGCTTAAGGTGGTCTCTAATGATGATACTGCAACTTCTGTCCCAAGATTTGTAAACTTCAATGAAGGTTTAATTCACCGCAATTTATTTCCTGTTTCATTTGGGAATCATAAAAAATAATACATGTTGAGGATTAACTACTAAAGGATATAGATACAGCAATAATCCTTGATTAATTAGAGTGCAAAAAAAAATGGGGTGGTGAAGTATAAATGCAAGAGATATAACAATACACATAAACATAAACCTTTATTCTGACACAAATATGTACTACTTAATAAATAATTAACCACATCATAATTGACAACTATAACAATATATCATGATATAAATGTCTATATTTTAAAAGAGCTTGGAATTAATGCTATTGTCCAAGCTGATAATTATTTCTATATTCTTTGGTTTTTCTAGATGTGAAGAAAAAATATTACGTTTTATCTTGTTTAGAAAAAAACCAAAGTTTGAAAAATAAAATGTGATGTTTATTACAGAAATGTAGTAGTCAAAGGCCAGTTATATCGTCTCTGAGAGTAAAAGGAAAAACAAATGTTTTAAGTAAAAAGTCAGGGGCTTTTTGGAAGTTTTGTAAGGATCATTACATTACTTTAAACCATGTTTGTGTAATGTGACACAGTGTATAAACCAACACAAATTTGAGAATTTAATTTCATACAGCATACTGTATAAATCAATTCATTATTACTACTGAAATTTGTGAAATAAATTCATTTGAAGATTTATTGATACTGTAATGTATATCTTATAGGCATTAACATAACAGATCCTTTCGTGCTTCATTAACACACCCACAAATTAAATATGTAAAACATTTCCTTGTAAACAATTAAAACTATGTCCAATTAAAATTTTACGAATCAAATAAGGAAAAAACTTAATACATATAAATGAACCCAATTCGTATAATTACATAATGCATACAGAAATACTCAATACAGCAACTTACACACATAGACATGAATAATCACATACTGGTGTCTACAATACATAAAAAGAGAAGGAAAAAAAATCCAAGAAAATGTAGTCGTGTCCCATAATTGTGAATTTTTTTATTGGGTAAAGAATTCAACAAGGCACCATACAATTTACCTCCAAAATACCAGAATCATTGAAATTAACATTTGTTATGTTAAATACATGTACAGTAAACTAGTTTATGTTTGCAGAGTTTAAGTTGATGTTCATGAAGTTTTCTTTTTGCCTGATTTTTGTCCTAAATACTGATTTTCCTTAAAGATCAATTGTGTGCACCAAAAAAAAGTTTTTTGTGTTGACAGTAAACTCAAGTCAATGACAGATGAAACTCTACAGCATGGTAAACAGTCAACTGGGTACATAATTACAACACTGTTAAGAATAGTTACACATCATTGCAAATACATCATCATTCTGTTTGAGGTAATATCAAAATTATAAATATATACATGTACAATGAATATCGAAAGACATCACACAAAAGCACCTGGAAAATCTCATTCTTGTGTAGATACATATACTGACAATTGCTTTGCATTTGTTGAAAAATTGACTACCGTCAATTGAAAATTCTTTGCTTATCTTTGCTTATATATTATTGTGGATTCATTTATTTTCGTGGGTGTCAATTTTCGTAGATTGAGGAAAACTTACATTTTCATGGATATTTGATTTCGTGGTTTTGCAGCTCTGCATACAAAGCCTATATAAAATTTGTAATTCGTTGAACATTTGAATTTGTGGTTCACCTGTACCCATTAAAACCAACGAAAATTTGTATCCACCAAATATAATGAATCTACAGTACTGGACAAAATATAATTATTGTGATTTTAGAAATACTGCCTTACAGTGTTAACAGGTTATACCTTTTAAACCATTCAAGTGTATATTTTGTTCACGATATTTAAATTAGCTAGTTTTAGAGTAAAATTTATTATCTGTATTGACAAAGACTGGTCAGACAGATTTATCAGTCATCCTTTCAATACTTATTCCATGATTTGATAGACAAATGGTAACAATTGCTATGCTTTCAATAGATAGTAAACAATGGTAATACTGATTTCATTGTTCACCTTGCAAAAATTCATCCACAATTCTTTTGTTCTGGATAAATATTCAGATGAATAAGATGGGAATTTTGTTAACCTTTGATTGTTTCTACCAAGTTTATAAATAAAAGGAGATGAGAGAAATACTGTGGATTCAATTATCTTCGTGCGTATCAATTTACGTGGATTCAGGAAAACTTGCAATCTGTGGATAATTGATTTTGTAGTTTTGTAAAAGTCAGCATACAAGTGGATCTGGATGGGTTGGTCCTCTTTTTCTGTATTCTTTAATTTGTTAGAGCATTTTTCTCTATTTTTATATTTTTTGCCCATTTTGTTCTATTCATTAAGTTTCATCACCTCATTATTCTATATTCTTTATTTTTTTGTCCATTTTTTCTGTATTCTTTATATTTTTTGTTCATTATTCTCTATCATGTAAACTCCCCACACACATCCTCATACAAGCTTATAGAAAGTTTGTAATTTGTTAAACATTTGAATTTGTGGTTCACATGCTCCCATGAAATCCATGAAAATTGGTATCACACGATTAATAGTGAATCCACAGTACAATAATCAGACAGCAACCCAATGACAAAAAAAAAAAAAACGAAGACAAAATATTAAAAACTTAATAAACCATAGACTGCAAAAGTCTAACCAAATTCCATTACTTTAAAATTTACTTAACAAAAAAAAATAACAAAAAAATCACTGTAACAATAAACTATAAGCAAATATTGCTAAAACGGCCACAGTAAGTGACATTATTAAAAGTTTTTTGTGTTGCAGTATAAAACTTAGTTTCTCTTCCTCCTCTTCGTCATACTCATTTCTTCTTTTTCTTCCTTTCCCCATTCTTTTCTCACATTCTTCAACTTTTGCTTGTTGCTGTTTAATTTCTTCTTCATTGAGTAATCTCTTCTTTTCTTCTTCTTCTTCCTGTAAAACCAAAATTAAATAACTTTACATCATTTGGTCTCTGGTGCAGAGTTGTCTTGTTGGCAATCATACCACATCTTCTTAATCTTATATAAAAGAAACTTGGGTATTTATCCTTGTTGAAAAATAAATGTAACAATGGATTAATATGACCCTAAAGAGAAAGCTACCTTTCAATCATAGCATTATATCTTACAAAACAATTTTGATGTTTTAGACTGACATACAAGGAAATTGTTTCCAATCATGGGGACAAAATGGCCTTACAGTTAAGTTAGAAGGTTATCACTTACCACATTGCTGAAATACGTTTTTGAAATTTTGGAGGAACATTCTGAACAAGATGTCTTTTGATACACTGTTATAAAAATATATCATAGATACCAGGATTAAAATTTTGATTTTCAAGACCCTTCCCTGTATCCAATGTTTGTTTTCATGGAACAGCCCCTACAATGGTTGACTAAGTTATATTTAAGTATTGTTTATAGTCTTTGTTAAATTTGTTTGTATGCTCTTGCTTGAAAAAAAGTAGAAATCCATTACACAAAACAGTTTCCCACTAGCTCAGTTCACATGACACTCTGCATACTAAAAGCCTGTTGTGCATTTCATACAAACCAGTGAAATATACTTACCTCGTGTAATCCTAAACATTGTATAGGTATAGGTACTCTACAGGGTGGACAAGGTTCCTCTCTGATTGTTGGTCTTCCTTCCCAAGGTCCAGCAACATTTATCTGTAATATTAAGATCATAAATAAGATGATATGCAGATTCATGTTTAACAATGATAAAATGAGTAAATGGCATTAAATACACTAAAAATGTATAGATATTTTAAAGTGCACATAAAATGTTTCATGAGAATTCAGCCAAGTATGAGCATATATCTAAGGGATCATAGATTTATTCTTACAAGGAAGCTCCGAGCATGCTCCAAGCATGCTCAGAGCTTTTTAAGTAGGATCTTCTCAGCATTTTATGTGACAATAATTATCATGATCCATTAAGATGTCAATCAAATCTATAGCACTTCTATAAAAAGGAAAGTAAAGCATTATAGAGAAAACTCAATTAACACCTGTGTAAACATCTGGTCTATTCAAATACAACTTGCATGATTTTACAAAACTAGAAAATAGATAAGAAAGTCATCAATAGTACTGTGTAATGCTTGGAAAGAAATATCAAGTCTCCACAAAAAGTAAATGTTTTTTTGATACAAAAAAATAATCAAATACTTTATTTAAATAATATAAATGAACCTTAAATTTATATCATATAAAATGATACATAAAGTCATCAAAGACACAAACTATGGTAATTGATTCATAATCATTTGTTAAACTTTATATACAATAGCAAACTTAGTTCTTTATAAGAAAATGATGGCTACTTTAGGAAAAGTTTTAATTCTTAATTGAAAGGCAGTGGCGGATCCAGGGAGCGGGTTTCTGGGGGTTGGAACTCCCTTTTTTGACGATGAATGCTTTTGAATGGGGACATATGGTTGGTACCCCATCCCCCACTCCCCCCCCCCCCCCCTATTCTGGGTTGGAACCCACTTTTAAAAATGGCTGGGTCCGTCCCTGTAAGGATAGGTTTCACAGTATAATAGTTATAATAAATTGATCTTAGTTGAGCAGTCCTCTATATCGTTTTCTTGAATATCTTTTTTGATTTAGTTTTTATGATTATTAACGGATTCAGTGAATAAAAAACTTTATAGCAAAAATGTATACTTTGTACTGGAATCTTTTTTGTCTATGCAAGACAACTTTTCTCAAAATGTTTTATATATGATATCAACAGGAAAGTATTGAGAAGATGTTTTATTGAAACTGTTTATGTTTCAAAAATTTTACACAGCTTAAATGGAACTAATAAGAAATTTTTTTCTTATTATACAATCTATTCTGCTGTCTGCTTAAAATTTAAAATTTGATTTATTACCCTAATGCTTTAAGTCAATTGAATACCAGTTTAAAACATATCGTTATTCCATACTATATGTTAAAACTACAGTTAAAAATTCTTGTAATAATCTTTTTCAAGTTAGGAATTAGGCAGTTCAGAAGTTTTAGTGTTTGAGGAGAACAGGCAATTTTCTTGAATAATTTGCAGTCTTGACTTCTATATATGCCAGGTCCCTCACTTACAAATATTTAAAGATATATGGTAATAGTTCAATTGTATGCTTAAAAGCATTTTTGATTCAGCATACTACTGTTATGACTGTAGGAACATGACAATAGGGAGTCACGACAATACCACTTTAGCTTAGGGGTTTAATTATAACGTATCTACCATATATCCATCAAATAATCTTATATCTTCAGTTTATATCTTATTTTATTGATAACTCTTTCCCTCTATTAAAATTTAAATTAATTATTACTGTTGAAGAAGTTTTTAATCTAAAAGCACACAGCATTTTAATATTAACAAAATATTTCATATAGAGCATTAAAGAGGATGCTCTAAGATACTTATCCCTACTGAAACAGTAAAATGGGTTATTACCTCAAACTATAATGTATCATGCTGTGATATAAACCATTGATAATAATGTTTTGCCTCTACACAGATTTTATACAGTATTATTAGACAGGTCTGAGTATGCAGACAAACTTTTATTAATATTAATTTTAAAAATTTAAAAACAACACAAAACAAGCAAAAAATTATCGTTTCAACTCCAAACAACTGCCACAATGTCCTATACTAATGAACATAATTATGCAGAAAATTCTAACTACCTTTGATTTATGTTGGTGTTTTATAATTATACTCATGAAACTAAAAAAAATTTAACTAATTTGAATCTTATAGAAAAAGAGTTCAGTATGTATATATTGTTTTCTGTTTGGTATTAAATTAATATTAAGGTCCATTTTGTTAGATCTGGTGATCAATTTATTTGGCAATCGCCAATGGCAGTCAGCAGGGTTTAAGAACATCAGTTGTTCAACCTGTTAGTCAAATGCGTTTTGTTAAAATAGACCTTTTTACTTTTTTTGGTCTTTTGGAAATTGTTGTTTATGCTGTATTTAGACCCCTCTACCACGAAATTTGTTTTACATGAACACGTACAAAATTTGCGGTTTTTATCCAACGCAATCATAGGTTTGAACGTTGTTTTCAATTTAGACTTTTATATATTTTTTCGTTTGGGCTTGTATTATATTTTCCTTCGGGTTTATATGATCCGTTCATCGTATTTCGACTCTTTAAAATTCAAGAGTCTTTCCTAAATTGAGGTAAATTTTATGGCCTTCCAAATACCGTTTCGATCCCTAACATCACTGAAGAGACATTAATTGTCGAAATCCGGATATGGTGTACAAATTTTTGCACTTCATGTTTGTGGTATACCATCTTTTCCACAAGTTTATTGTTTTTTGTTTGGTATTTAATAAATATTAACATCCGTTTTGTTAGATCTGGTGATCAATTTATTTGGCAATCGCCAATGGCAGTTAGCAGGGTTTAAGAACATCAGTTGTTCGACCTGTTAGTCAAATGCGTTTTGTTAAAATAGACTTTTTCACTTTTTTTGGTCTTTTGGAAATTGTTGTTTGTGCTGTATTTAGACCCCTCTGCCACGAAATTTGTTTTACATGCACACGTATAAAAATTGCGGTTTTTATCCAACGCAATCACAGGTTTGAACGTTGTTTTCAATTTAGACTTTTATATATATATATATATATTTAGGATCTGTTTTATATTGCTAATATGTACTGATAAAGGCCTATATAAAAAGACTTTCTACCTACAGGTGTTAACTGAGCTTCCTGTACATTGCTATACTTTCCTTTAGATAGAAGTTGTTTAGATATATTAAAAAGTCATTCAAGAAAAAGAAAGAGGATTGCTGAACTAAAATTCATTTATTATTATATTGTGAAAATTCTTTCAAGGAGTAATACCACCAAAACATAGAACATCCAGTTTCATGCAAAAAAGGGTTGATTTTTTTTTAATTTAATATTCCCTTTAATTTGACAGTTGTTGGACATTAACCCTGAACTTCATTGCAGAAAGTTTTTTTTTAATCGTATACATGTTTCTTGGCCGTTTCAAAGCAATATGTTTTTTTTTATTTGGTGTTTCTATAAAATATTTGGGAAATTTAAGGGGACATGGCTACTAAAGCTTGTAAACGGGAAAAAGGAGGGATAGGAATTTGATTGGTTAACTTCTGGTGATGTTAACTATCTTATATGCAATGAGAAGTTATGTTATATTGTCACTGTAGTACTGGACAGGATAAAACTTTACTCATTCCAAGTATTTCTTTATTTAAAACGTTAGATAAATTCTGCACAATTTTTTGAAAAATGCCAATTAAACAAAGACTAATAGGGGAAAAATCAATTTTATGTTAAATTTTCACTGTAGTACTGGACATGATAAAACTTAACTCATGTACCTTAAAGTATTTCTTTATTTAAAACAAAGATAAATTCTGCACAATTTAAAAAAAAATGTCAATTAAACAGAGACGTAATTGGGAAAAACAATGGTGGTATTACCCCCTCAAACCAGCCTTCCAATAATGAATTACAACTTTTCCTAAAAGTAGACATAATTTTCTATAAAAGAACTAAGTTGCTATCTTATAAAAAAAAATATTACCATTGTTCAGTTAGGGGCATTACTTAAACAAGTAATTTTCAAAATTACCTTATGTTGAAAACGAGGCTATTTTAAATATAACTTCTATATCATGTATAAGTAACTTTTGTTAATAATATTAACAAAAGTTACTTATACATGATATAGAAGTAATATTATTTTTATAGGTGTCCATTCATACAGGTTTTACTAGCTTTAACAAATGTTCACATCTGGTTATTATACGACCGCAAAAAAATTGCGTTCGTATATTGCTATCACGTCGTTGTTGTCGTCGTCCGAAGACATTTGGTTTCCGGACAATAACTTTAGTATGTGAATGGAATTCTATGAAATTTAAACACAAGGTTTAATAACACAAAAAGAATGTTGGGATTGATTTTTGGGGTAATTTCCCCAAACGTTCAGGAATAAGGGGCAAAAAAGGGGCCAAAAACCAGCATTTTTTTAGTTTCCAGACAATAACTTGTGTTTATGTGTATGGATCTCTCTTAAATTATACCACAAGGTTCCATACAACAAAGGGAAGGCTAGGATTGAGTTTAGGGGTAATTGCTGCAAATGTTCAGGAATTAGAGGCAATAAAGGGGCCAAAAACAAGCACTTTTATAGTTTTCAGACAATAACTTGTGTTATTGTAGCACATTTTTCCAAAAAGAAAAAAAATCTTTTTTGGGGGATTTTTTTTTTTCAAAAATTTTTTTGGGGGATTTTTTTTTAAATATTTTTTAAAGGGGGGTTCATACTTTTTTCTTTAAAATTTTTTAAAAAAAATTTTGGTGGGTGGGATCTTTTTCAATTTTTTTTGGGGGGGGGGGTATTTTTTTCATTCTTATTTCTTCAAGATTTTTCAAAATTAAAAATTAAAAAAAAAAAAATTTTGGGGGACAAATTTTTTGGGGAGATGTTTTTTTCTTCTAAATTTTTGGTTTCTTCAATTTTTACACAAATTGTTTCTGATTTATATATAAAAGCAACACATACTGATATAGCAGGAGATACACACCAAACAGGGTGTGTAAATTATTATATATAATAGATTTACTAAGTATTGTGCAACAGCACAGAATTGCGCAATAGCAAGAAATCTTCAATT